GCAGCCGGCGAAGAACCATGAAGATGAAGACGCAAAAACCCTCAAACCCTCTTCCGGGTTTTGAGTTCAGGGTCCCTAAGCCCTTAAACCTCTAAACCCTGAAGCCCTGCACCCTTAAACCCTTAAACCCCTAAACCCAATGTCAGCGTTCATGAAGCAGGGATCTTAAAGCCCCAGATAACATCACTAAGGCAACATGCATCCCTGCACCAGAAACCGAACACCAGTTTGGAGTTTAGCTTAATTTGGGTTTAGGATTTAGGGCTTAAGGTTTAGGGGTTTGGGGTTTAGGATTTCGGGTTTTAGGTTTAGGGTTTAGGGTTTAGGATCTAAATTCAGAGTTTCGGGTTTGGGGTTACCATCCCAAAGTCCGGCACTCCGGGCACTCTAAGACCCCCAAAGCCCCGTGAGAAGTCGCCGCCTGCAGCTTTGCTACCTGGCAAATGTGGGGTTTAGGGTTTATTTAGGTCACACGCTACTTGGAGGGGCTGAAGTTGGGCAATGTGCTTGATTTTCCCCTGTTTGAACGCCAGATCTTCGCCTTAATTACCGGGTCCAGGTTACTGATGGGTTAGGGAAGCTACTTGTCATGGTTTACACTGAGTTCTTAATGAGCATAAGCTAATAAGGGCCGAAACTCTTAACCCGTAAACCCTAAACCCTAACTCCTAAACCCTAAACCCCTAAACCCTAAACCCTAAATCACAAACCCTGCGTTCATATTGCCTAGCTCGAGGGTCCCTCACACAGCTGGCAAGCAGCTTGTTCGGCATGTTTGTCCACTATCCCCATATAACCCCTATATAACCCCATGTAACCCCTATATAAGCCCTTTATAGCCTCAATAGTAGCTTGGTAGTGGGTAGACACACATAAGAGTTTCTGCATCCCTTGGCTCCTCAAAGGGACCAGAATTTGCCGAATCAAACCCTAAACCCTAAACCCTAAACCGCGTGTTTAGAGTTTAGGATGCAACGCTTAGGGCCCTAAACCCAGGCGCCTATAGTACCTCCTTGCGCAGGCCCCAAACGCCAGCTCAAAGCAGAACAGGGTTTAGGGTTTAGGGTTTAGGGGTTTAGGGTTTAGGGTTTAGGATTTAGGGTTTAGGGTTTAGGGCCTGCCATAGACTCTTTTGTCAAGCCCCAAACACCATAAGACAACTCTCCCATGTACGATGGTATTATGCTGGGAATGTCGGTTATCCTATCGTACTACTCCTACTATTGCTACAGTATAGTACAATAAGGAACCCCTAAACCCCATATCCTAAACCCTAAACTCCCTATATATAAAACCTGTATAGACCCGTTAAAAACCATATAGCCCCCTATATCCTGGTTTCTGCTCAGCTCACACTTCCTTGAAATGATGGGGCCCTCTTCGCTACACATGGCTCGGGCAGTTGCGTGTCAGGGCTTTACTTGATCACTCCCACCAGGTCCTACTATCTCTGGCGGTATAGGGAATAAGGTTCAGGGTTTAAGGTTTAGGGTTGAAGGTTTAATTAGGGTTCAGGGGTTTAAGGTTTAGGGTTCAGGGGTTAAAGGTTTAGGGTTGAGGGGTTAAAGGTTTAGGGTTTAAGGTTTAGGGTTTAGGGTCTAGGGTTTAGGGTCTAGGGGTTCAGGTACCCAAGAAGAGGCCAAAATATTGACAACAACCCACGTGCCTCAGGGTCCTACTACCCAATACTCAAATCCTCCCCCACAACCTGCAGTATAATTACTAGTACAGGAACCCCTTGTTACCTGAAACCTGTACTATAATTTCTGGTACCAAAATCCCACGTACCGCGTTATTGGGAACATGGACCCCTAGGGGATGTGTTAGCGGCCCTAGGAGCGCCTGGCGTCGGACCAAAATCTCGAAGGCTGCCTGGCGCTTGATTGCTTGACCGGGCCCTGGGGATAACAAAAATGAAGACCTAGCCCCTCCTGGTAGCCTTACTTAGGGATTTAGGGTTGAGGGGTTGCAGGGTGGTGGGGTTAGGGTTTATCAGGTTTAGGGGTAAGGGGCCAGGGTTTAGCGATTAGGGATTAGGGTTTCGGCTGAGCCTTTTGGTGCCCCTTATTTGGGGTTCGAGGGCCTCGAATATGTGGGTACTTAGGCCTTTAACCGAGGGTAGCTGGAGGTTCAGGGAATGAATTCACCCACGGGTGCAGTCTCAATCAACTGACACTTAAATGACTTCGCAAAGCAGGTATACTTACTGGTGGCTAAAGGGAATGCGGGAATATAATCCCTGTATAATACTTATATAAATTGTATAAGATGCAATACAATATAATATACTACAATATAATATGATATGATATAACCCCTCCCCGTATTCGCTACAAACCCCCAGCGCGTGTAGCGGCAGATGTCACGCGTGGTCCATCGTTCTGTTTGGCAAGCAAGTTCCAATCCTTGGGTTTTAAATTTTGACGTGTTCAGTGGCACAAAACTCAAGTCTGTCAATGCCCGATTGGAAGCGAGACAAACTACAGTCTAGAGTCTAGAACGCGTCAAGATATGCTGCAACATACCGGTTGTTGAGCTTCGTGACACAAACACGCAGAAAGATTAAACACTGGAGTCCGGATGCCCGAACGGTTCAAGCGTTATTTCACAGCAACACTCTGACCTTCTTAGCAAAAATGCTCACACATTGCTTCTGCGAAAGCAAACGGCAGAAGAGCACCACTACAAAAAAACAGCTGACTAGGAATCAGGACAGCATGCAACACCGCATATCTGCAGTCCTAGCAACACGCAAACCCTCCAATTCCTCACTATTAAGGCCGAAGTACCCAGTATAAGGAGCCCTATAGCCTCATTTAAGGGTACCACCAGGGGCTTGGTACATAGACTACGGTGGCAAAATCCTTGTAAATCACGCGATAGCCCCAGCTTCCATTTCGTTTTCCAACTTCGTTTGCACTTGATTCTCCATTATTGGGGTAATACCCCCTAAACCTTCATCCCGAAGCCTTGAATCAAAAGATATTGGGCTCCCTACGTTTTTTTCACAACATCGACCAACGCTAAGCCTTCAAATGAAGCAACGGGGCCTCCGGAATAAAGAGTCGGGCGCGGGGACCCGTGGCATTTCGCAAAGCAGTTCGGATCTCATCCTTGGAGGTTGACGGGGGTTTACGGCTTTGGGCTAATCTAGAATCTAAGGTTTAGGGATGAGGGTGTAGAGTTTAGGATTTAGGGTTTAAAGTTTAGTGTTTAGGGCTTAGGGATTATATAAAGTTTACGGTTTAGAGTTTAGGGTTTAGGGCTTACAGGATCGGGTACAATTTTCAGAGTCCAACCCGTCCGGGCTTCGTGTTTCGAAGCTCTAGTGTTAGGCAAGGTAGTAACTCGAGATCACTATAGAATTGAAGCCCTACAACCCTAAAATGCGTTGCGTTCAACGAGTGCTTTTTAGAGATCACATTCGAGCCGCTAAGGGTTAAGGAGTTTTAGGCTTTATTTAGGTTTTATAAGTAAGGGTGGTAGGCGGTAGGCATTTAGCAAGTCTGTAAAAGTTCAAAAAGCAGCACCCCGAATGCCTGCACAAATGTTTGACGATTGTTGCCGCACACGCAGAACTGCTGCACCGCTGAAACCAAATCTTTGTACTCAAAAATATGAAGACTCCAACTCCGTTCCCGGAGCCAACTACCCATCAACCAGCATTTGTGCCCGAGTGCCAAGCTTTGATCCCACCATATTACACAAACTTCCCAAAATGGTGCGTCATGAAATGCTGAACTTGGACCGCGGGCATCAGAGAGGCCAGCAAAGCAGTCGTAGTCGCGGACGGTCCTGGCTCAACGAGTACGACTTGCGAAGCTGTGGGCGCACGCATGTGTAAGGCATTGGGCTACAGACTTCCATGCCTACAGTAAAGTTGAGCTGAAACATCCTATAAGTATAAAACCGTGAGATCGGCTTCATCGACCTGCGCACCCGTGAAGCAAAGTATAGCAAAATGCTATTTTTGGTGTCTGGGGGTTCCCTAAATCAGGGGTACCTTTTGGGGGGTGCCCACAGTAAGGTTTAAAATATACATGGTGTCTATGTTGGGGTTCCCTTTTTTTCAAGAAATACCCATTTGCTTGAGCCAGCCCGGCTGGATTTGGCTGGGGCAATGTTGAATGAAGCCTACATGTTGGGTACTTCCCCCCACCCCAGTAACAGTCTATATTAGGGGTTCTGTTAAGGGCTATATATAACCATATTGTAACTACTATCCAACTGTTACTGAGGGGGGGCAGTACCCAACCTACATGTTTTCAGATGTCAGCAACACAGATATAAGATCAACAAGAAGGCTGTGGAATCTGGCTACCTCACAACTCACAACAGTGGCGTCCCTAAACCTTAAATCCCAAACCCCTACACACCTAAACCCTCTATACACTCCTAAATCCTGAGCCCTAGACCCAAGCCCTGTCCGAAAACATAGGCTCATGAGCTGCATGCTGGGATAGAGTAGGGGGCCTTGTATTTTACAAGGAATATACGATGCAGGTGTTGTGGTCCAAAATCATTTACAACCCCGCTATAAGCCCCAAACCTACTAAGCCTAAACCGGCCTAAACCCTAAAACCCTAAAACCCACCGTAAACTTAAAGTCTCAGGAACACCCCCGGATACCAGGACTTGACTCAAACCCAGCACTCAATTTCGAACACTGTGCCTTCCAGAGCCCCCAAGGTGCACGCATCTCTCGAGCCCTCTTTCTTTAGTATTTAGACATTATATATATGTATGTATGTATAAAACATAGTATCCTCTACATGTCAACAAGTTTATACACGTGCATGCAGGTGTCTAATTGTAAATATCCATATATGTTCATTCACAGATGTTGATACGATATATGCGTATATAAACAACTTAACAGCGGTACCAGGGACTGACCTCCAAGCACAGAAAACTACAGCGCGCGGGACTTCACTTTGTCTTCTCGCAAGAATGCTGCGTGTCTGCCTGGGACTTGTCTGGCCTAGCTGCTTGGGACGTATCTAGCTGCCGAGTTTGTCTTGCCTGTCTGCCGTCTGTCTAACTGCCGCTGCTTTCTGACTACCAGGGTTTGTGATTGACGGGTCGCTGGACCCCACGGGTTTGCAGCCCCTACAAAAGTGAGGCCAATGACCGTCCATGTCACTGTTCATCCGCTTGTTGCACGCTTCCTCGTGGCAGTGCATGCAGGCAACCACGCAGAAGAACTGCTTGACTGTCTGCGCCCACCTCCCGCGTCCACCCATGCGCGTGCCCCAGGGACAGAAGACGAGGCCCGTGTCTGGAATCTGTGTCTCAGTGTCGCCACCTTTCTGCTTGCGTTTGCCTGACGACTGGCTCTCCTTACTCCCCTGGCTGTCAAGAAGATACGTCGATTTCCATCTCTTGCTGGTGTCATCATCAGACTTCGCATCCACAAATAGCTTGATGAGCCGCTTCCTGGTGGGCTCTCTCAGACGACTGGCTCCTGCCACGACTTCGTCATCCCCAGCTTCCGCAATGGTGCGGAAAGCCATATCCAGCTCATCGGACATGGCTCACTTCCTGTCTAGCGCTGTCTAGCGGTTGGTTAATGCCCACTTCAACCCGAAACCCGAAGCCATACCTGGACCTGAAAAGTAAGCAAAATCCCTGGCCCAGAACCCTTTAGCAAATCAGAAGCAGCGATTGTTATACGTACTTTTGGGGCTTTGGTAACCCTAAGCCCTAAGTTGCTATGCCGAACCCCAAACCCTAAACCCCTAAATTGCACGGGATGACAAGACTTCGGATCCATATGATTCTGACTGCTCAAATGAACTCAAAAAGGTGGGTGTTGGCCCAAAGGGCCTGATTTGGTAGTGCTGTGTGCTCTGTCTGTGTGTGTGTGTGTAAGCCTGGGTTAAAGACGTACTGAATGTTCATTGCCCTACCCTGGCTGCGAGCCGCTGCAGACGTGGCCAAGCGCCTGCTGCTACACCATCTGCAGCGTCATTCTGCTCGCTTTCGGGCGGGCAGCTTATAGTTTTGCAGGGTTTGAAGACTTTACATTAAGGGGACTCCCCAGCCTATAATACCGGTATAATGATAACAATATAAGAAGTTGAACACACGAACAACAAGT